TTATAACATAGATGAATATAAATAATAAAACAAAACATTAAAATCAATATGATAAAAATAATATTTTAACTAATAATATTTTATTTATCTCGTTGTATCGTGTTGTATCGTACGAATACCTTTCTAGTTTTAACTAATAATTACTTAATATGATAAAAAATAAAAAAAACATAAGAAAGTAAATGAAAACGACTAAAATCTTTAAAAGGGTAAAACGCATAAAAACCACGTGTGTATATATATGTATAATGTATGTACGCATATATATATATATATATTTGAACATTAACAACCAGCTTGGCTTTTCATCAATGGCGACTTCATATGTACTCTCCTCAAGTTCTTCCCTTTTCCTTAGCCAGGTGAAGAACAATACCCTTTTGATGTTTCAGTCATTTCTCTTCTTTTGTGTTTGTTTTACTCAAAATCGTTGTCTAACCTTTCAAATTTGCAGAATGACGTGGGTGTCTCTCTGTTCTCTTCACAACCTTCTCGTTCAATCCAAATCATGCAGAAAAAAGTATCCAGAAAGATTGAATCCATCATGGCACCACAACGATCTGCACGAAACCCATCCATGACTGGTTCAGTTGGGTCTTTTTTTTCATTTATCATGTCAATTTTCTAAATCTCTGTATTTTACAGCTATTCTTGGAACGAACTTATATATATATATATATATATACACACACACAGACACACATACACTTCTAACCATGTTTTGAATTGATTGATTGGAGAAGTTGGGTTGGATTTGGAGTAATTCGATTGCTTTTTCAGGTCAAAACCAGGATGACAATGACAGAGAAGATCTTCTCCAGGGCTTCGGAGAAATCCCAGGTGAATCCTGGTGACAATGTGTGGATCAACGTTGATGTCTTGATGACACATGATGCTTGTGGCCCAGGTTGCATCGGAGTCTTCAAGAAAGAGTTTGGGGATGATGCCAAGGTACCAAATTCAATCGTTGTTTACTGCTACATTCACAAAACACTAGAATCTTTGAAAGCAGCTCGATTTAGGCATTTTTGTTTCGACATTTGATGTTAAGGACTGGCTGGATCAACTCCATTTGTTGATGGCTTAATCTGTTTCAGGTTTGGGACCGTGAGAAGATAGTAATCATAGCTGACCATTACATATTCACAAGTGATGAAAGAGCAAACAGAAACCTCAATTTTGTTAGGGATTTCTGCATCGAACAAGGGATCAAATATTTCTACGATATCACAGACCGTAGCGACTTCAAGGTACCATGTTCTCGCCTTTTCGGAATCTCGAAAGTCATCTTACATCTTATTGCCTGATGTTCAATGGATGTTATAATAAGACTGCTTATTGATTCAGGCTAATCCTGATTACAAAGGTGTATGTCATGTTGCACTTGCACAAGAAGGTCATTGCAGACCGGGAGAGGTACCTGAAAACCATTCAGCCCATTTAATATGAAGTTACTACTCACTATATATAGAAATGTCACACTGAGTTGTTGCCTTCAGGTCATGATTGGTACGGACTCCCACACCTGCACTGCCGGTGCGTTTGGCCAGTTTGCTACAGGAGTTGGAAACACAGACGCTGCTTTTGGGTTTGAGACTGGAAAGGTTTTGCTTAAGGTTAGTTATTAGGTATGATAAAAATTGAATCTTTATACGAAAAACGCGGAAGCATGAAACGTAATAACGAAACCGAGGAACACATTTATGTAATCAAAGAAACAAATAAAATCTACAAATGTACCTCGATTGTAGATCAAAACGATTAAGGATCCAACGTAAAATCCCTTTACCAGTTCGCACACGAAATGGTAAACCGGAACATGAAACCTTCTCGCTTGGAGCACTAAAATCGACCTCAAGAACCCCTTAGGATTGAATTCGGCCGTAGATGGGAGAGAGAGAGAGAGAGGAGGGAGAGGCGATTTTTGCTTAGGGTTTAATTATGTCCTTATCTCTAAGTTAGTTAGGTTTAAATACCTATGATTTGGGCTTAAATCCCTAACGGACTTCTAAAGCCTCTTTAAGCATATTTAAAATTCACTAGAAAGGTCCTCGTGCAATGCAACAAGATACATCTTGATTTTAATATTTCATTTTATTCTTTATCTCAGTCGATGTTATAGTATAGTCTTATGTAATTTTGAAAAAGCGGTGATGTTTTTATTTTTGAATAAAATATAAACTTGAAGATATCATAAAATTTTGACAAGAATATATCGATGTTAGTATCAACTTAACTATTTAAAATTCCTATTTTTTGTATAATTTTTTAATTCAATTTTTTTATTATAATTTAATTTAGGTTCAATATTGAAGTAATTTATATTTGATTTAATAATATAATTTTCTTATAAAAATAATAATTAATTATTTTGTTAGAACTCGATAATTGTCCTAATTATATTTTAGATTTTTTAGATTTTAAAATAAGATATTTATCCTCTACTTGATTATGTTTATTCGCAGTTAGTTACACAAATTCAAACATAGAACTTTAATAAGTTGTACTTATGCATAATTTACTTGTAATCTTGATTTTTAAATAATATGAATCAATATACAGTACTTCATGCATTAAAAATGGTTTTTAAGAATTTTTGTTAAATGTTTTATAATATAGTATAGATTAGCAATTAACTAATCATTTAGTTAATTAATAATTAATAACTTATCAAAATAAATTATTATTTACTAATTAATTGTTAACTATTAACAATTAACAAAACCAGTCCCCAAGGTTTCTCACTTTCCAATTTAGGCTAAGTGTGTAGCCTCGATAGGCTTATGGAATTTATTTATTAAATTCATTTGTGACATTAAACATTATTTCCAACAATTATTTTGTTCTTGGAAGTACTCATTCTAAGGAAATGTAACGGCTTTTTAACATGTTTTCTAGCTCTTTTTGCTTAATGACGATATCTACTTTTGTTCTTCATGATCTTGTTTTCCAGGTACCTCCGACCTTAAGATTTGTGTTGGATGGAGAAATGCCCGATTATCTGCTTGCAAAGGATTTGATCTTACAAGTAAATTCTACTATGCACTGGAGATATCTGAGTTGATCTTAATCGATTCAGCCCAACTTCCATGCCTGTTTCACTGACCATTTTCACGTTATAGATAATCGGTGAAATATCTGTATCTGGTGCAACATATAAAGCAATGGAGTTCGTTGGTTCGACTATTGAAAGTCTAACGGTAAGTTCTTCGTCCTTTTCGGTTTGTGTAATATTTTCAACGGACTTTGTTGGTTCGTTTTCCGTTTTTCCGTTTATATAAGACATTTGTGTTATATAGATGGAAGAAAGAATGACATTATGCAACATGGTTGTTGAAGCTGGGGGGAAGAATAGTGTTATTCCAGCCGATGCTACTACATTTAAATACCTTGAGGTTCGCTTCATCGTACTCTCTTCAAATCGTTTAAATACCATCGTGTGCTGTCCAGTTCTGATTCCATTAAGATCTGTATCTCCCTCAGGACAGAACATCTGTGCCCTATGAACCCGTCTATAGTGATGATCAAGCAAGGTAACTCCATATCAGTTCTGCCCGTCTCTCCATCTCAATTGCAAGATTTTCATGTTTCGAGTCTTTCTTTGCGTTTCAGGTTTGTTGCTGAGTACAGGATCGATGCCTCCAAGTTGGAGCCCGTAGTGGCGAAGGTTTGATACGTTACTTTCCATTGGACTTCTTTATGCTTTTCAGAAACATTAGCAAGTGGAACAGAAATACTCGAAACTAGCCCATTCAGATTCGTGTGATATAGACGTTGTTTTTTACGCTTTGCAGCCTCATTCTCCTGATAATCGCGCTTTAGCAAGGGAATGCAAAGACGTCAAAACAGACAGAGTGTATATCGGATCTTGTACTGGAGGCAAAACCGAAGATTTTCTAGCAGCTGCCAAAGTTTTCCTAGCTTCAGTAAGATTTCTAACATCTTACTTCTTTTAGGCTCAAATTGCTTATACCGAAAAGGGTGTTGCTAAACGAACCCCCTTTTGGATCATAGAAATGTAAACGGCTTGATGTTTATGCGTTACCATGTTACATAGACCTTTGATATAACGTGCAGGGCGAAAAGGTCAAAGTACCGACATTCCTTGTTCCTGCTACTCAAAAGGTACGTGTTATGCTCGTTACAAGTTGGTGTAAATTGTATGCTAACAGTAGAATTCTGTAGGTATGGATGGACTTATATACCCTCCCGGTGCCAGGATCCGGTGGCAAGACTTGTTCCCAGATATTTGAAGCAGCCGGTTGTGATACACCTACAAGTCCTAGTTGTGGTGCTTGTTTAGGTGGTCCACGGGATGTTTATGCACGCCTTAACGAACCTCAGGCCAGTATTTCTCTTCTTTACCTGCGCTAAGATCATAATGTTCGACTTCTAAGTTGTATAAAGGGATACTGCAGGTCTGTGTGTCGACCACAAATAGGAACTTCCCGGGTCGAATGGGTCACACAGAAGGTCAGATCTATCTAGCTTCTCCTTACACTGCTGCAGCTTCGGCTTTGACTGGTTTTGTTACCGATCCAAGAGAGTTTTTGCGTTGATCTCATTGCTGTTTCTGTTCATTCATCGACACAACCTTCTTGTACGATTGTTTTCTATTATGTTATTATAAATCTCTACGAGATAACCATTGGTTGAGGTTGTTTTTACTTGGTGACTCCCCAAGAAATGTCCATGAGTTTGCATTTTATGCACATCGTCTGCTTTCAGATCCAAAAGAAATGGTTGTATTAAACATGGTATGCCAAACATGAGACTATTTATTTTTGTCCCATCTCGTCTCATCCAGTCTGCTTACAAGCGCACCCTAAATAAACAAGAAGTCTGATCTCATCTCGGGTTCTTTAAATCGAACTTGTAATCACATTTTTATTGAACTTTAAACCATGCTAATGACACAAACAGTTGAACAGATCAAGAATACTAAAAACTGGCAAAACCTAAGACAAAAACAACACATTGTTTACAGAAATATACCTGCCCATCTTGTGTTTTTTGTGTGCAGACTTTGAAATGTTCAAAGTTCATCATGCATATGTTGTTCTAAACCAACATCAGCATTTGGAACTGCATGTTCATTGATCTGAGCAAGGTGGTTTATAGCATCTGCTACACCTGGTGTTCCCTTATCGATTTCGGCTTCTCCCACCATACGAGCTCTGATAGCACCTATAACCTTTCTCTGCAATTTGAGTATTCCAATTCGCTTTGAAACAACGTAAAGAACAGCTAAGGAGAATAAGACGAATCCAACAAGAAGTATAATCCTGCCCACGTAAATTCAACCTTAAACGACTAGTTTTTAAGATTTAATACGAAGAGGAAACGATAAACTAACGATTTGTGTGTAACCTGCCGAGAACGTCTTGGCGTTTCATTGTTAAGAGCAATTTACGTGTTCGCATCGGTAATGAATGATGACCCTTGTATTCTCTTTCTGCTTTCTTTAACACTTCTTTTGATTCCTCTGCACTAAACAAAGATAGCTTTTATCATGAAAAGTTACCAACACCACTGAATAGTTCAGTCCATAATAATCTAAATCAAACCAAACCAAAGGAGCAATTGATTATGGTTTGTATAGTTTGTTAGAATTAGGGGTGTTCGCAGTCCAGTTTGGGCAGTTTAACCCCTCAAACCACAAACCAACCGCAATGGGGGTTTTAAATTTTTTCCAAATCAAGCGGTTTGGCAGCAATTAACCAAACCGTTCAAGCCGGACCACAAAAGGTGGTTTGGTCTGACTGGTTTAGGCAGTTTGTGCCTCTTATGGGCTTTAAACTAAAAAAAACATAACATCTATATCCAAAATGAAATTTCTACAAATACAGCATTGTTATAATATAGTATAAAAATTTATAAAAGAAAGGTTTATCTCTAAAATTAAAAAAATTATTGAGCAAATTGAAAAAAGTTAAACCAATCTATCAAAAATAGTTGGAATTTTGGATTTGATTTTTGAACAAATTTCGGGATTTTGTCAATTTCGATAATGTGGTCAATTGAGAAACGAAAACTAAAAACATAATGTCGTGGATAAACTTTTTTAATTGGGACATAAAAGTTGAACATACAACATGAAAACTAAATACAATTAGTAGATGTGTATTTTTGGTGGTCGGTTCGATCTAGACCGCTCAAAAAACGTTCAAAAAGAAGACCAGACCAGATCGAGCGGTTTGGCTATTTTTTAGATTGACCAGACCGTCAAACCGCTAAAACGGCCAAAAACGGTCCAATTTGGCTTGGTTCTACCGGTTTGAGCGGTCCAATAGTTTTTTTATACACCTCTAGTTAGAATTAGATGGTCTGTAAATGAAACGTCCCCCCATATGTATATATATATATATATACACACACACACACACACTTATGCAGGGAGGTTTAACAAAAAACCCCCAAAAAACGAAAAATTGAGGAACATTCTGGTAACCATTCATCTGGATGGTATGCACATGTTCATACAAGTAACCAAAGTTGTTTTTGTTTTTTATGCACGTGTGCATGTTATGCACATTGGCATACCGTCCGGATGAATGGTTACTAGAGTGTTCCTCGGTTTTTCCTTTTTTGCGGTTTTCCCCTGAACCTGACCCTGACCCTATATATATATGTATATGATGAAGCCACAAGAAAATCATATAAACGTATTTAACCAGAAAAGGGAAAAGAAAGATTAAGACGAACCAAAAGCCATGAGTGTGCTTCCACTTCGTTCAACCTCCTGTAAATAAATCAACGGGTAAGGAAGATATAGTACATATCATGCTTGAACCTAAAGAAGATATTTTGTAGAAAGAATAGCATTTAACGTATTCTATTTTGTTTGCTTTGTTGTTTTTCTGTTCTCTTACTGAATGCAACTTAAGAAGTAAGTGGACTTTTGCAGGAGGATCATGAGCCATGGTCAGACCAAACCAAGAAGCTCCGGTCCGCAATTAGCAACTGATGCTTTTACATCAGAAATGGTTTAGAGTATATAAATGGCGCGTTTACATACTTTTTTCATGTGAATCAACTATGAGAAAGTTGTCTTCCGACATATTTGAAGAACTGTTCAAGATCAAAAGCAACAACCTGAATCATCAGCTGTCGTGTGCGGCGAAGGCTCTCTGTAATGATCCCCGCTGCAGATGTCATTCCAGCTTTAGTCCTGATGGCAAAATATATAGCATTCAGCACATTTCAAGAAATACTTTTTTCTAAAACAATCCATATTTGCTGCATTATGACAATGTTAACATAAAGAATCTCAGAAAGAAATTGGAGTACTATAAACATGGATGAACTAGATGGTGATACATACTGTAACTTGAGCCTTCGAGCTGTGGACTCTTCTCCCCCTCCCAAGAGAAGCTCCCTCTGGTATCAAATATCAGATATGAAATCACAATGCTAAGTCTCATAGCCATCTCAAACTATTATTGGGTAACCATGGGTGTGCACTCGACTAATCCCATGGGCCCTAAATTAACAGCTAGACAAACCCTCCGGTGACCCTGAGGAGACTTGAACCGGTGATCTCTCGGAGCAAACACAGGGTCTTACCTCCTCTTGGAGTGACTGTTCAAACTTGAGCAAGGAGAATATAATGTGATCAAGTTTATTACCTCCTCTCTGGTAGCTTTCCTCATGCTAGCCTTTGCTTGCAGATTAGCTTTTCTCAAACTTGACCGCAGGCTCAATAAGAAAAGGGAAAGTCAGAAAACCATTAATCAAACTTGTGTAATCAAATGTATTATATACAACTAGTAGCTAAATCAAATGTCTATGTAAAGAATCCCTCCTTTTATTGTGAGGTTTGAACCCTAATGACCCGTTTAGGGAAAAGGACCTTGAATTCCAAAAAAGGATCAAGACCCATTTAGGGAAAAGGATCTTGAATTCCCAAAAAGGATCAAGATTCTGGCATTTTAGGATTAGAAAGGGTAGGAATGAAACCTTTGAATCTGATTGTTCCATGAGTGAAGTAACAAGTGGGCATTGTGATATCTGGGAAGTTGTGGGGCCAGGAGATCAAGATTGAATAGTGCCGTAGTAAGCATACCCAATCCGTCTTGAGCAAGTCCATTCAATCTGGCCAACGAATCTCCATTGTTGTTGTTGTTGTTGTTGATATGGTTATTGTAATCTTGAATGGCACGAATGTGGTTTAGGGTGTGCACATAGGCATCGTCCCAGTCTTTCTTTGTCCTGTTGAATTCCTCAATAACAACAATGTCTGAATCTGATGGCTTTACCTCCATGATTAATGTGGAAGGAGGAGCATTAAAATTACTTTGAAGGATTGGATCTGTTGTCTCTGGGTTCCAATTGAAGTGAATAAACGAATTCCAATGTCGAATTATGAAATCTGTTATGGAGTTGTTGGCTTTTCATTGATAATCAATGCTTGTTCATCTTCAATGCCCAAGGATTCCAAATTTAACAATCTTTCTTTTTGCTGCTTGAATCCCAATTCTTTTCTTGCTTCATGTTTATGTTTCAATTCAGAATGAAAGGTTTGATCATGTTGAAAATTTGATTGTTATGTCTTTTTATTTTAAATTTTTGAATAATATGAGATGTTTTGAACGAGGGATATATTGAGTATGTAGTTGATATCGGTAAGCTAATTATTTTATTAGGGGTGTTTTACTGTAAAAACAATTTATTGACTTATTCAGGTATAACATTGATAATAAGCACTTTTGAGTGTTTGGATAAATAACTTATTGACTTATTCAGGTGTGACACCAATAATAAGCACTTGTGAGTGTTTGGATAAACAATTTATACCGGTGTCAAACCGGTAATAAGAAGTTTTTGAAAAAGTTAAATCTTTCTGACTTATAATAAATTGATAAGTGCTTTTGTAGAAAAGCATAAGTTGTTTTAAATAAGCAATCCCAAACACCCCCTCATACACATGAGGGTACTCGTGCCAGATAGATCTTGATTTTAATGTTTCATTTTTTTTTCGGTCGATTTATAAAAAATTGAAAAAAAAATTGATATTAGTACCAAAATGACTTTAAATTTTCTTCTTTTTTATGTATTTCTTTAATTCATTTTTTTTGGTTTAATAATATAATTTTTATAAAGATAATAATTAAATATTTTGTTAGATATAAATAATTATCTTAATTATATTTTATTTAAAATGAGATGTTTATATTCTATTTAATTATATTTATCTGTAGTTAGTTATACGAATTCAAACATTAAGCTTTAATAAGTTGTATTTAAGCAAAATTTATGTGTAATCTTGATTTTTAAGTAATATGCATCAATAAACAGTACTTCAAGCACAAAAAATGGTTTTTAAGAGTTTTTGTCAAATGATTTATAATATAGTATAGATATTTACCAAAAAATTATATTTCATTCATAAATGAATCATATAAAAGGTTAAAATGGTAATTTATTGTCGTTGAAACTATTCATTCAAAACTTTTACCAGATAAACATATCCATTTTGGACTATATCATACATAATATTTTAATTTATTTAACCACTTAATTATTCTGTGTCAAACCATTTGCCAATCATATTTTGATTATGTACTGTATCATACAGAGCTTTTTTTTTCTATTAACCTGGATATCTAACCCGCTATGTGAGCTGATTAATTTCAAGGCAACCACCCGCTTTACGGGTATCGTATTTGAACCTACGTAGTCACAAGAGGATTTTTATTCCTTCTTGGATTTGAACCTGGACCTCCAGACACTTTTGACATTTGGAGCTCAAACTCAAACTAATCAGACACCCCTCATGTGGTTCATATAGAGCCTTTTAGTTCCGTTGACCTACATGTTCACGGTCGTTTTTCATTCCAGTCTCAAGAGGAAACCATCGATCTACAGATTCACGCAACTTTTAAAAAGGATACCATCGATCTACAGGTATATCCAACGACGAATTCATTGGAAGCATACCTCAAAGTGTTTTAACATATTCAAGAATCTTAACAATATTGATGGAAGTAACAACATATTCAATGGAAACTTGTCTCAAAAGTGTTTAAGTAACAAGATATTCAAGAATCTTAGCAAGATCAGTTTAAGTAACAATAGATTCAATTGATCAGATCGACTCGTTAGAACATCAATCTATGGTTTCATGTAATCCAACATCTCATTAGAACAACAATCGATGGTTTGAATCGACTCATTAGAACAAAAATCGACGGTTTCAAGAATCTTAAAAAGATATGTAATTGCAAATCGATGGTATCTTCTTGAGAGCGGCGTGAATCTGCAGATTGATCGTTTCATCTTGAGAACGGTGTGAGAAACAATTGTGAATCTACAGATCGATCATGAAGTCCTATTGAGAGCGGCGTGAGAACAAGTAAAAGGGCAATATTGGAAAACAAGGCTCTGAATGGCTTGGTGAGACCTTAGGGGTTGTTTGTTTATCTCTTAATAGTTCCATTAAGATGCAACTTCTGAATCGTTAAGAGGTGAATCTTGTTTGGCAAAAAAAAGTCTGTCTCTTAATGATTCTAAAACCATCTGAATGATTTGTATCATGGACCTCCCTTAACCATTAAGCGCCTTAATTTCATCGTAAACAATTACCAAACAATTATATTTCATTTTACACTATATCATGAGATTCTCTTAATCATTCTGATCACTTAATCATTTTGCACCAAACCATTCAGCAACTTTCAAACATCCTTAGACAAAAAAATTGCTCAGAGCCTTAAAATTTTCAATAATTTTTTTTTTAAATTAAAAATCCTAAAAACTTATTTTTTATTATAAAAAATCGAGCATAACCGGTTAAGGACCAAACCTTAAGGGGCTGTTTGGTTTGCGGAATTCGAAGGAATTTGATGGAATTGGAATGACAAATTCCTTTGACCAAATTTCAATTCCTCTGTTTGGTTCATTTCTTGAAATGAATGAAATCCTTCAAATTCCATTGAATTCCACAAGTTAATTAATTCATCATTCATTGGCATAATGGAAGGAATTGAATTCCATCACCACCCACCACGTTCATGCTACTATTGCTCATGATGCCCCACCCTTAACCCCCACCATTGATGTCGCTGCCACCCACCCTAACCCACCCTAACCACTATGCCACTACTGTTGTCATCACACCCACCCACCATTCGGTCACTCACTACACATCCCTACTACGACTATGCTACTAACGTTATTGTCACACCCCTAACCTAACCCCCACCACCACAACATTATTGTCGTCACCACAACTGCCACTCACCCTACCGCACCCTACCCTAACCACCACTAGCCACTATGTCACTACTKTCGTCATCATACCCACCCACTCCCAATCACCCTGACCATCATCCCACCACTATCATCGTTACAGCTTTCACTTATCCCCACCTCCCCGTCCACCCTACCCCAACCCACCACTAAACACCATGCCACTATTATTGTCGTCATACCCACCCACTCCCTGGCCCCAGCCACCCGACCACTATCCCACCACTAGCATCATCACAGCTACCACCCCGCCACCTACCCCACCGTCCTGCCTTGCCCCCACCCTACCTTACCTTACTCTAACCCCATCACTAACCACCATCCTACCATTGTAGTCATCACAACTATCACACTGCCACCTATTGCCCCACTCTGGTTTCACCCCCACTACCTCGCCCCACCCCTGCCTGCTCGCAACAATCCCCACCTATGGAGCAGCAGGGTAGGGTAGAAGTGGTGGGGGCAGGACGGGTGATAGTTGTGACGATGACATTAGTGACATAGTGGCTGGTAGGGTGTGGGCGGGACGATGGATGGGATAGTCCATGCAAAGATGATTGTTCCAATTTTATTGAGAGATTTCATTCTAATTCCTACTAACCAAATGCATGATCAAATTCCATTACAATTCCCTCAAAGTCAAATTCATTTGATGAATTCCAATTCCATCAAATTTCATTCTATAAACCAAACACCCCCTAAATTTCCGTAAAAACCATAACCGCTTCCAAACCACTGATGGTTTCCAATCAGTCCCAGTCCGGTCCCGGTCCCGTCCCACGTCGATCCGGGGCCGAACCCATTTTGGCACTCTCCATTGATATGTAATCTATTTTCTCTTTGTCGGCCCAGTATTCCACTACTACCCGATACCCTTGCCCTAACGATTGAACGAACCTCCAAATTGGACGAACCCAAGCCAGTCGTCCGCCATTGAAGCTTGAGCTCTAACCATAGAAAGAAGCTCTCGAAATTGTAGGCTGATTTATTCTAACAGTTCAAGGAAACTTAAAGGAAGTCTGTGGATGAAACTGCTGGCTTGACCGAATGTTAGTGACAGAAGCCCCATTATGTTTATTTGGATGATATTTGATTCTGTTCTTATCTTTCCTTTATTGCATATGCACTTGGCATCTTTGTGTTATTGAATTATAATTCAATGCTTGCACATTATAAGCTCTTCTATCAAATTCTATTATGCAGAAATTTTCGATTATGTAATGCGTTTGTCCTTATCACTATCATCAACAATGTATTGTGTTTATCATCATGTTTCTTACATGTAATTATCATAAAGATGAACACATGAAATTAATCCGACTAAGTATGCATATAATTGAGGCATGTACGTTAATCTTTATGTATACTCCTCATTTTAGTTTAATTTTGATTAAGTTGGATTGTGTTCATGTTTCAATTTTTGAATTTATTCCCATTTAGTTACAGTTTTTGAATTATTTTTTCTTCTAGATCTGCTGTTTCATGTTTGCGTTTATTGATCGTTATCAAAAGGGATAAAGTTTGAGGCATCATTGCACAATGCACACACAACGCATTTATTTGGAAGCTTAATTTAGGTTATTGTACTAATCACTTGTGCTTGATGCAGTGTGGCCGGTTTGTAAGAACAATTTAGGGCATCAAGTGAATTATTTATTCGAAGATGGCTCGTTTCCGTAATGTAAGTGATTTTACTCCAATTTTGTAGTTTGTGAAGATGATTAAATGCAAGATGATAGTTTACTTGTTTACTTACGATCATCATATCCCAATTGTCAGAAACCATGTAAATGATGTGGATTTTTCAGAAGTAAAATCATTCCTGTTGAGATTTAATCTGTGTAAGATACCGGGATGTCATAAAAGTTATTGTCTTTTAGATGGATATTGGTATCGTAGACGTGCCTTAGGAGCAGTGATGAATTTGCTATAACAACAATGCCAGTTTCATAAAACGAGATATCATACTCCTTCCTGTTCGTTCTTGTAGACCTTAGGTCCAGTTCTTTTTCTTGAGGATTTTGACGATTCATAATATGTCGCTCTTAAGTTTCATGAAACAATCATTTGTCCTTTTGTGTTTCAATCAGAAAAAGAAGGTGGCATTTGTGAAACCCATAAAGAAGCAACCGCAGCAGAATGTGGATCATGTAACCGGTGACAAGATACCAAGAAGTTTTGTCTTTTCGAGGTTGAAGTTACCTGGGTCTCTCAAACAATTGCAAGCAGACTTGAGAAAGATGATGCTTCCATATACAGCTCTAAATCTAAAGGTAAACCATACTTGTAGATTATGTTGATTGTGGCAGTGAAACATCATTATTTTGAACTATCAAGTTACTCTGACTTAATATTATCCCAATTAATATGAATTAGCTTGTTTAGAATAGTATACCTTGCATACCGTGCTGTTTGGCGTTATAGATAGTTTTGATCTGTCACGTTTGATGTCTTTGACTGTAATTGCATGAACTTCTGACCCTTAGGGCCCGTTTGGTTTGCTGGATTTTGTGGGGTTTAGAATTGGATTCCATTCCAGTCCCACACTTGGTTTAGTGGAAAGTCTGGAATAGAAATCCTGGGATTTAGAAATCCATGTGAGTAATTGGTATTTCGCGGGATTTCACAGGACTTGTTTGTAATAATGTTTTAAAATATGTCAAACACTTGTTTTGTAATAATCAATTAATAAAAAAGGTAACTTAATTATTTTTATACTTTTTATAATTTGTTTCCATAAACTATCTATAAAGAATGGAATTTAATTCCATTCCAAATCCTACAAATCAAACACACCCAAGATTCCAAATCCTTCCATGAAATCCAAATCCTTCAAAAACATTCCATCATACCAAACGGGCTCTTAGGGTTCACATGTTCATAACTCAGCTCTCTATATGTTCTTAGGGTTATGAAATATTTTATATGTAACATTCATTAGAATTTGGTTTAAGATGTGTATAGATAACCAAAGAGGGTCGGTTGTTCATTCGTAATCTGATTTTCTTGTTTCAAGGGATGGTATCAAAGCTCTTTCATACCATTCTGCATTGTTGATCTACATGCGGATGTAGTTATTGTAGTTATGGTTGTAAACTACAGGAGAAGAAACGCAACAACCTCAGAGACTTCTTGAACGTTGCCGGGCCTATGGGAGTTACACATTTTCTTATGTTATCAAAAACAGGAAGTTCCCCATACTTGAGAGTTGCAAGAACACCACAGGGCCCAACTCTTACATTCAAAATTCAAGAATACTCATTGGCTGTTGACATTGCTAACTCCCAGTTACGTCCAAGAGTACCAAAAGATCTATTCAAAAACTCCCCCCTGGTAATCCCCTAATGTTGATGCTTTTTATTAATAGATAAGATTTATCAAGTAAATATTCAAATATTGTCATTATTTTAGCACTTTGAAAGCATGCTAATTATATTATCGTTTTGACAAGCTCATATCTTGAATTTGACCCAATTAATTTCGAAAAAGTACCTCCAGCTATGCTTTGGTGGTTTTCTTTTTTATCTTAGCTGTTTGATGCTTATTGAGTGTTTTGAATTTGAGACAGATTGTGTTGTCTGGATTTGGCACTGGGGAGCAACATCTGAAGCTCACAACCATTATGTTTCAAAACATTTTCCCTGCCATTGACATTAACACAGTGAGTATCTCTTTTGTTTCCGCTTGTATATGCTTAGGATTTTTATAGTCATTGATTGCTCCTCTTATTGTTAAATAAATGTATTGCAGGTTAAACTTTCATCATGCCAGAGAATCGTGTTAATTAATTACAACAAGGATACAAAGCTTATCGATTTTAGGCATTATTCTATCAGATTGCAGCCAGTTGGTGTCTCACGTAGAATCAGAAAGTTTGTGCAGAACCATCAAGTGCCTGATCTTAGAACCCTTCAAGATGTGAGTGACTTTGTAACAAAGTACGTATCTCTCAGCTGTTTCCTGTCTTATAATGTGTTTATGTATATCATAAGTTTGAGTGAAAAACTAACAAATGATAGTTTTGTAATATATGTATAACATCAAAAGGGCTGGTTATGGATCAGAAAGTGAAGGAGATGAGGAAGCGGCAACAGTGAGCTTAGCAACTGCTTTCGGTAGAGTTAACAAGGCTTGTACTAAAAGTGCGGTGAAGCTTCAAGAAGTTGGACCTAGGATGACTCTTGAGCTTATCAAGATTGAGGAAGGATTATGTTCGGGCACTGTAATTTATAGTCAATACGGTAACTCTTTTTTCCAATATATCTTTTCTGTTCCTCTTGTATTAGAATTTCACACAATACCCATGTCCCATGAAACTTGGTGATGGTAGTTCAATACAAATATCTGACCATTAGGTGATAGCTCTAATGATTGGCAATTGGCAAACCATAAGCTAGTTCATTGAAAAAGTCCTGTTTGGTTAGCTATAAGCTAGCTTTTTGAAAAATGCTTGAAATACCGTTTCAATAACCTTAATGGGTTTTTTCCAATTATCCTCGTTATATACATATATATATATATACATATATATATATACATATATATATATACATATATATATATATACATACATATATATATATACATACATATATATATACATATATATATATACATATATATATATATATATATATTTGACATGTTTTAGTGAGAGAAAAAGATGGTGTATTGGAGAAGGCCTTGGTTTGAATCTATATAGCATAGAAGGGTGTTCCATATCCAATTAGTTGAAGTTTTCATTGAACATGAGAAAATGGACATTATATTTTGTTTTGTTTTATTGCAGGAAATAGTGAGGAACAGAAAGAGGAAGGAAATGAAGAGGATGATGATTCAGAAGGAGATGCCGAGGGAAGTGAAGAAGAAGACTAGCTCCATTATAATGCCATTTAGGTATTTGCTTCCATTTTTGTTGCGAGATACTGAATACAGATTCAAATAGCTAACCAGTTTTTCGAGTGTCGATTCTTGTTCCCTTTTCAAAACCGCAAGTTGCACTGCCGCAAGGCAAGGACTGCAACTTGCGGTTTCTGTAAATTAGTGTCTGCATTTTTATAGGTTGCATGTTTTCCTAGTATTTGACCACACCAAGTAGAGATTTCTTTTCTTCTTCCATTTGCTCTCAAATTTAGACAAAAAAACATGGATATTTAAAAAAAAACAAAAGTTCGATTGTATGTTTGTGTTGGAGGAACGTGGAAGAAGGAAAATGAAGTCTGAGAATAATGTCCGGCTGATCTACCGCAAACCAAGAGTTGGTTTTTTGCTTGATATTTTGACGTTATTTCGCATTATTTCATATTATTTGTTTATAGATAAATAAACATGTCTATTGTTAGGGATTGTTTATTAACAACAATTTTTTGTTTGATGCTTAGTTGTTAATGGTTAGGGTTTGAAATTTGATGTCTAATTGTTAATGTAATGATGCTTAGATTTTAATGACTTGATATGTCTATATACGAATTGTTTTTCTATTATGTTACTTAAATTTTGATTTGATATGTCTAATCAGGGTTTGAACTTTGAGGACTTGATTTTATATTATCTTAGGGGACGTTTACTAAACGCTTACGTGGTAAGTGCTTACCGAATAAATTTCCTTATCAGATAAACATGACAAGAGTCAAGAATCTTACTGGGTAAGAGCGATGAGAAGGATGGAGAGTCTTACTCGGTAAGTGAAGATTACGACTCTTACCCAGGTAAGCGCTTACCTGGTAAATTGTTGCATTCAATACGTTTTGATGTACTAAAACCTTACTCATCAAAATAAATTATAGTGTTGACTCCTATAGGTAAGCACTTACCGGGTAAGCATTTGGGTAAACAGCCTCTTAGTCAAATTCTGACTCCTCTACAAATTTCATGTATTTGTGTTGTCGGATTTATGCAACCTTGAAAGAACGTCACAAAACGAAGGTAACGCAAGTATACATGTTAGTCTATTATCGTCTTACAACAAGTAATAAAGGTAAAAGGTACCAACTATCGATCCATAGGGACAATGAAACAAGAATCACAAAATTCAGGCTTAAAACGAGATTTCGGTCTTCAGATGGTGAATTCAAGGACTTTTTTTTGGTTGAGTTAATAACAATCGAAGTTTTTATAGTGATTAAAAAAAACTCAAATGGATCCCTCTTTTCAACATCCCCAAATCCATCCACTCTGCTTGAGTTTTCCATTGACCCTTCAATGGAGGCATGCTAACCTAGAAAATGACTCTATATTGGTTGAAGACACCCTAACAGTAGATAAAGCTCTTGATTTAAGGTTAGTGTTTCTTTTCCTTCGTTTTGCCTTTTTTATGAGAGCTATTGTTGGTGTTGTTAGTGCACTCATTTACTACTATTTCAAGATGCCAACCAACTGTTCGACGATATGTACAAGTGAAAATCAGAGAGTTTTTACTTTTATATTTGAGTATTCTCTTTTTCGTTTATTCTATACCAACTATAATTCCACATAGTACAAAGGCATTATATTGCATGTACGTGTGCATATCTCTGTAACGCAACATAGAGGTACCTTAATATACATGTTAGCTCTTGCATCTTTATGGTGTCTTATAACTTATTACTATCAGCGTTGCGATACATGACTCTACACATATCTATAAAACATTTTTCATGATAACATATACGACATACTTAAAAACTTTGAAACATGTAAAATCATAGAAGTTACACAGCATATTTCAAAACACTCTAAACATATACGTATGCATGTATAAATTATAATATATCCCACCTTGGGAAATCACATAAAACTCTCCTCGATATGTAGGTTTATGTGACCATTTTATACGCTTATCATATTAATTAATAACTCTTAAAAAATACGTATTTTTTACAAATTACACCATTAGAAAGGTCTGGTCAATACCTTCGAATTGAATATCTTTAAACTTAATTATATTTTTAACATCGTCATAGATAAAAATAACATATTTTAACGTTGATGGCATGCGTATGTGATAAATGCAATAGTTAATCGTCGTTAAATACATGTTTATATTTGCTTTGATGTTTGTCGTTGATTCTTCTTGAATTTTTCTAAGAAATTTTAGCGTGAATAATAAGGTGAAACTCTTTTTAATAAAATTTAACGTTAATACAAAGATCTCAGATGTCGTCATGGATACACGAGGATCTTCATGATTCCCTTAGTGCACATTCTCCAAAGACCTCCTAATCTCATATGTAAAGGTGGAGATGCAGATGCAGATACCGGAGCAATCCGCCTAATAGGAATTACTACTTCCCACGTCGATGACGGATGACTCATCGCCGCTTTCCTTGTAACAGGAATTACTACCATTCATGTTAGGCATAAGAGGAATTAACAAGTCGAAAATATTATATAAAATAAAGCTCAATTATAGGTCTTGTTCAATATGGATGCTTTTGGTACCTTAAACAAAGGCAAAACATGAATCACTATCGATGTTTGACATGACTTTTATTAGGGTAAATTGGTCATTTTGTCAGTCTTGTTCTATCAATTGTTGTCTTACCAAACATTGAACAACTGTCATATCATGTCTGTTACCAAAAGCACCTATGAGAATAACTCATTAAGAAAGGTGGCAAATAATATAAATTTTTGCCAAGGGATTAGCAAAATCACAAAATAACTATAAAACTAAGATCAAACCACAATATACTCTCACTGTGATACAATGCCTAGAACAGTTTTTGCTCCATTAATCTCACAAGAGTAACGAGTTAAAAACCAAACCAAACGAGTCCAGTATATCCCACTTAGAGAGGTCAGATCAATGAGTGAGTAACGATCCATAACTCAAAATCAGGCTTCGAAAAGAATAAACAAGGACATTATACATTAATGAATAGATAACGTAATTACACGGGCCACCGAATGAGTACTCACCGGGTTAACAATAATAAGACCACAAATATTCATCCTTTCTGAACTGGAGGAGCAACACATATCTGACCCAAAACTGTTGCACCCTAAAAACAAGTGTCTGAAACTACAACATACTCCAGATGGGATTTGATTAGTTATCTATGTGATTGTGGGCTTAAACTTTCCAAAGAGAGATCATAAGTACCAAAATTCCGATGCTGACCATCGGCTATATTTGCAAGTCTGAAACCATGATTTGGGAGCTGGTTAATCAGCAGAGTTTCCAGTTGGCATGCCATGCTCTTCCCAGGAACTAAGAAATACAGGAATGAAGCATTCTGCATCCCCGGCTTTGATCGATGTGCACGAACCCGACCCTGGAGATCATCCGTCTACGAAGAAAGATCAATGAAATGAAAAAAATTGTTTCAGTTAATCTTAAGATATCCAGGCTTCTTGGAGTAGAACAAGTTATTTCAAGTGCATTTGGTATGCGGACAGGACTGGAAGAGCGAGAGTGAGGTAGGTGGGTAAAGATATGACGAAGGTTTTAGGGTTTTAATTTGACAAGGGTAGTTTAGTAATTTACCAATATTGATTCACCTCCTTAATTTTTGTTCCACATATATTCGGGACAAGTGCATTTTTGTCCCAGTCTGGGACAAGTTTTTGTTCTTTCATGTCCCATCATGTTCCGTGTACCAAATGCAACTATAAACAACGGTTAGAGTAAATCTAAAAAACATATGTTGCAAGGATACAGATGGGGAAATGGGAATTTGTGGTACAAGGATGCCAAGATTCAGTAATTCTAGTAAGTAGACGATGCAGGGGTGCAGTTATGTATGTGTGTGTGTGACAAGTCTAAAACCAAATCAATAACAGAAATAATTTATGTATAATTCATTAAATATATATAGTAAATACACTTACGCCGAAGGATCTTGTGAAAACGAGAGTTAAGGCGAGATGCGTAAGAAGGGATCTAGACCCTTGATCACCTTTAATCTCAAACCCACACATGAATCGTGTTTGATATTGTGCATCTCATCCTAATATGTATCCAAGGGTGGAGATCCCTTCTTACGCTTCTCACCTTAACTCTCCTTCTCACCGAAACCCAACCCATACACTTAAAGCATAATCCCTATCATGTTTTTACTACTTTTACTTGAAGTTGTCACATTAGACGAACTATCAACGAAAAACAATTTGTTATGTTGTTTCATCTCCTTTCTCTCCATTGCCATAAAAGTTTTGTTAGATTTTATCTTCATGTCTTAATTACGGGGGATTGAGAAACAAGTAATTTCTGCTGGGCTGTTATCCTTTTTTTAGGTTCACTACCTGCAGTTATTTTGGTAGAAATTTGACATCTTTATTTCCATCTCAAGAGAGAATTTTTCTCCACAAGGAACTGTGATATCTTTCTATGGGATCACGGATCTTTTTATTAGCTCTCCTACAAATTAAAATAATTGACCAAAACTCCCAGGACCCCATCGCCCATCGCACCCCTAAAGCACCTGCTATGGGGATTCAGCAAGAGTTAAAAGCAAGCTGCTTTCTAGAAAAATACTAGAATCGAATTAATGAAATGAGATGAATACCTCTCCAACATAAAGCTTTTTGTCGGGTCTCAGGATCACATAGACACTAGAAGCACCAATGGTTGATGGAGGGGGTTGTTCCCGGGGAGCAATTACAACACATCTAACTGCAATTTCTGGTGTAGTTTTAGTCTTGCAGAGCTCAATCAGCTTTCTATTACATACTATGCACACAGCATTTTCTACATCCTCCCCAAATTTCTCCATTTGGTTTGTTGATTTATCGACACAAGAAATAGGCCCTTCTTGAATACCTTTATGTTGATTGCAGGATTTATGAGATTCCTTGCAAGGAAACGGTTGAACTTTTGTGTTGCCACTACCCGAATTCAAGTCCTTTGTGTACACCGAATTGTACAGCTCTTCAGCTCTTTGTATTATTGCCTCAGGAACCCCTTCCTTCTGAGCTGTTTCAAAAGCAAGACTCTCCTTGCATATTCCATCTATCAATTTCCATGTTGGTTTAGTTTTACCATTCAGATAGTTGCTTCCCATTGCTTTATAAACAGTATTCTTGGTAGTCAGTGGTAGATTGAAGATATCATGCAAGTGTGTTGATACAATACCCAAACAACCAATTGAATCAAGAGTTTCAATAATGCTACCAGCAATGCATGTCCCCTTTGCTGTTTCTGTGCCTCTGCATATTTCATCCACAAGGACTAGGCTTTTCGAAGTGGCTCTAGTAATTATAGAACGCATCTCTGACATTTCAATCTGAAACATAAGATGCATATGCACATAAGATTGGAATATACACGTTATGCAATAATATTGCAATATACGACATGCCATCATGTTGTATATGAAGTATAAGGTTTAAATCAATCATATCGTTTTTAATTTTTAAATGTTGGATCGCAAGCCAGGGATCTTCACCAAAACAGCCTCTCGGCCCGTTAGGGCAGAAGAAATGTTTGCATACGTCCTAGCCCTACTGATTCGTTTGGGTTGGGTAGGTTTATATCGTTTGTAATCTGTTTTTATGTTAATTGTTGATTGACTCATCGGCTATTTTCTATGTTGTTATATAATGTTACAAGTAACTAAAAGACAATTTGCAATTCACACCAAAATGGTAAGTTTATAGGAACTTCTATAAGGTACACGAAATGTCCAAGGTTGGGTGATCAACCAACAAATTTAAATAAAACCATGCGTTTAAATTGTCACCAAGAGTAAAATTTAGATGGAGAAAAAATGAAAAGGACAGAAGAGAGAAAGCGACATGATGGGAAGTATAAGGACATGGTGCTTTAATGAGTGGGCACCTGAAACGAACTTTTCCCATCTGCAGGGCTGTCATAAGATTTTACGTGTAGCATAATAGAGTCAAAATGAGGAATTGATGCTGACTCAGCAGGTACCATAAATCCACATACTCCAAGTAGTGCAGCTGCACAAATAGAGCGAAGCAAACTTGATTTACCACCCCCATTTGGTCCGGTCAAAAGAAACATTGATTTCATATCAACTGTGTTCAGCACAGCACTGCCTTCGGCTGCATCAAACCAATATGGTGATAGACCAGTAATCTTCATCTCACGATTTCCATATGTTTGTTCTGTTTCCTGCACACAATTTCAGTGTATAAATACTGCTTGCACGGTATACGATATGCTACTGTATCTGGAAATCTCGACAGATTTTAACCTTCATTTTATTGGCTTCTTTTTTTCACCCAATATGCATGGAATATAATGCTATACAAGCAGACACATTTATGCATATGTATATGTAGGGTCAAGTTGACGGGAAAACTGCAAAAAAAATGAAAAACTGAGAGAACACCCTGGTAATCACTCATCTGAACGGTATGCACATGTGTATAACAAGTAATCTGTAAGCAATGTGTCCGGTATTGCACATGTGCATAACATGCACAGGTGCATAAAAACCAAGAAACAACTTCAATTACTTGTATGCACTTGTGCATACTGTCGAGATGAATGATTACCAGGGTGTTCCTCAGTTTTTCCTTTTTTGGGGGGTTTTCACCTGAACCTCCCTCTGTATATGTATATGTAATTATGTATGTGTATATGTAAATGTATATGTTTAACTTCTTTGGTGGTGACTGAAAAAGGCAAGTGCGTTCGTGGAGAGCACAAACGTCTACCACGGTCCAGCATCCTAATTTGAATACATGGAAAAATATCCCAATCTGCATGCTTTTAGAAGAATGGTAGACTGTTATTTCATGCCAGATGATGAATGGCAGAAGTGCATTTAGAGGCATCCATTGGTGGATATGCAACCAAGTTAAGTTGATAACAAACTTACACATTTCAGAGAAGGCACTAAGAGCAACGGAATAGCTGATTACTTATTTTATTATGCTTCTTAAGCAAGAAGCACAGGTTAAATGGAAATAAAGATACCATGTCTTGGTTTTAAGAGAACATGACCTCTTATAGGAGTTCCTGAAGACACCGGATTAGGATAGCAGTCTATTTTGTAGGGACTAGTGGCTACTTCGAAAGGGAACATAGGGGTAGAGGGTGAAAAGGTGTGGGCTAGAGAACCGGCATATAGGTTAGCAATGCCACAGGATAGCTAGAGAGAGGACTCTTTGCTTGGTGGTTAGGAGTGCACCATCTCAGGCTCTTCAAAACTGTCAAAGCTAAAAAAAACTTCAAATCTTTCCAAAACTTTGTCACAAGCCGAGGGTCTTTCATGGAAACAGCCTCTCTACCCCTAGAGGTAGAGGAAAGGTTTGTGTACACCCTAACCTCCCCAGACCCTACTTCCTAGAGGAAAATATTGGGTACGTTTGGTTTGGTTTGGTTTGCCTTTTAGGTCTCAAGGTTCATCCCTGAAGCTGACCTCGTATACAGAATGTCTTTTCTCCATGTCTATATGGTTATTCAACTGAGTTATAAAGCGACGGATAGTTTCTCCATTGTCTCCAAAACAATTGCCATTCTGAAAGCAATGTAGGTATTAGTGAAGGACCATTTAACGAATCTATTTTATATTTCAGAATTGCAATATGGCGTGGATACAGTCATATATCACAAGGGAACGACTTTCAGCATTTTTGGCTATTAAAACTAATGCTATACATAGCATGGCAATTGAGTCATGGGCCTCTAGTCCAAATGCAAGCCCCTGTCCGCAGTTCACCTCAGTGCTCTACCCTTTCGAACGGAGAACAGGTATGCATACATCTCCCCCGGTGGGACCCTACTTTCAAGTGGAATATAGTGGGTTCATCTGGTTTGGTTAATGCCTGTTAGAATAGTGAATTTCACATGGGCATAACTGAGATGATAAGTCTATTACATATCAAGAATAAATTAAATCATTGATTTAATTTATTCTTTCCATAACTGTTATAGTAATCATTTCCATGTAAAATGTAGCTGTAAATGTTTACCTAATTTAGCTCCTAATTAGTCTCCTATCCATGTATACATCCTGGCCATATATAAGCCCCTTTGTAAATTGGTTTTATACACTGAAATACAACACAGAAATCTCAATACCTTTCATGGTATCAGAGCTGCAATTGCTCTAAAGAGCTGATCCTCCTTCTTATTCTTTCTTACCCCTACGCTTCCAATGGCATCAAAAACCACAATCCAGATTACTGCTGCAACTCATTTCCCAATCAGACTCACCGCCAACAATTTTCCTGTCTGGCGTCGTCAAGTTGAATCAACCCTAATAGGGCTTGAGCTCGATGCGTTCATCTTTGGCGATAAACAGCCTCCACAATTTCTGGATGACAAAGACGGTCCCAAACTGAATCCAGAGTATCTGCCTTGGTATCGCCAAGATCAGATAATATTCAGTGCTATTCTCGGTTGCTGCTCAGACTACATTCAACCTCTAATTTCGTCAGCTACTACTTCACGAGAGGGCTGGGAAAGACTCAATGCCAGTTTCGCCAGTGGGTCCAGATCTCGTGTCATCTCTCTCAAGTCCAAACTTGTCAAAAATCCCAAAGGTTCTCGTTCAATAGCCGAATATCTTCAGGATATGCGAGCCATTGCTGATGAATTAGCGCTTGCACAAAGCCCTGTTACAGAAGAAGATTTACTGGTTCATATCTGATCACAACTTGGTGATGAATATAGTACTATCGTTCCTGCGATCAAAGTACGTGAATCACCACTGTCTTACTCAGAGTTATTTGACAAATTGACTGATTTTGAGCGAGCTCTTAAGGAACAAACTGCAGCCCCTGAACCTGTGCTAACCACGGCTAATTATACTGCAAGACAGTTCAATCGACAACCTGGACGATCGGATAATTTCAACCAGCAACGTGGCACCAACAACCGTTTCTCTAATCAACAACGTACTTCAACCAATCGCACTCAATGGTCGTCTTCAACTTCTGGAGGAAATCGCCAAAACAGGTCCAATCCCTATTGCCAGTTCTGTCACATTCCAGGTCATATGACTCGTGACTGTCGCAAGCTATCTCGTTTTTTACGAGACAACAATGTCACTACCAATACCTCTCAGTCGAATGCTCCAGTGGCTAATATAACCACAACTGGYTCACCTTCTGCTTCACCAACCTGGCTATTTGACAGTGGTGCCTCCAACCACGTCACTGGTGATCGTTCCACACTTCAAAATATCTCAGACTATGGCGGACCAGATGAAATTATACTTGGGAACGGTAACAGTTTAAAATTTTCACATGTTGGCTCTAAACATATTAACACATCACTCAAGACTCTACACTTACCTCATGTGTTATGTGTTCCACACTTGCAAAGGAACCTTATTTATGTGGCTAAATTATGCAAGACTAACCGGGTTTCTGTTGAATTTTTTCCATCTTATTTTTTTGTGAAGGATCTTCGCACGGGGGCGTGTCTCATGCAGGGGGAGAACTMTGAAGATGTGTACTATGCCAAGCTACCTTCTAGGCTACCATCCATCTCTCAACTAAACGTTACCACCAGAATTTCACCACTTCAATGGCATCATGCCTTGGGTCATCCATCTACAAAAGTTTTCAAGTCGCTTCTTTCACAATTAGGCCTTAGTTCCAAGCTTTCTGATTTGCATTGCCCATCTTGTTCAATTAATAAGAGTCATAAATTGCCTTTTGGCTCTACCTCATTTGTTGCTACTAAACCATTACAATTGATATATTCTGATGTGTGGGGTCCTGCCCAAAGTTCCATTGATCATTTCAATTATTATGTAATCTTTGTGGACTACTT